CCTATGGTAACATGTCACTGCAAGTAGATGTCCCAATGGTGCTAGTGCAGGTGTCTAAATTTTTTTGTGTTTGGGATTGTTGCAACCCCTGAATGGTTGCAGTGATTATTATGTATATATATAATTATTACTTTTTCATTTAATTTTATATTGCTTATATTTGCGATAATAGCTAAATCGTAAATGTATTGCTTTATATTGTTATTTGACGTAGTTATGTTGTTAGGTAGGATGTAACATATTATGTGCTCAGTTCAAGTCTTGATTGTCTAACTACTGTAATTATCGCTGTTTGCTCGTTATATTGCCGGCTTCTTGCTGGGCGACTGCTGTCCACGGAGCTATCACGTGATCGAGGGGGGGGTGTTCTCGCCTCGCCTAAAGTATTCAGTCTGCTTGAGACTCGCTTGGTGGTTGGACAGATTGTCTGTCTCATAATTCTTGTTAGTTCTGGAGACTCTGTTCGCAGAACATTGTATAGACTTAGTGATTTTCGACGTTGTACTGAGGTTGTGTGTCTCATAGACACTCGAAACATCTCAGGTCCTGAGCTTTAGCTTCTGACCTAATTTGTACTGGTTTCTGTGTATTATCACAGTCTGGGATTTTCTTATGCTGAACTTAGATTCAGTAGTATGGGAGTTTTGTAACTTTTGTGGAGGATCTGCAGATGGTCCCTACTTAGTGTCGTTATATTATCTCCTTGTTCCTGATTCTGTGTCGCAGTTGCTTGTTGTATTGCTATTGGGCTTAGCATTCTTTTTGTTGTTCAAGCAGACTGTTCTGGTTGCCAGTCGGTCAAGACGTTAGTTTATTTGAGGACTTTGTCAGTCACTTGTTTAAGTCTAGTCGAGTCGTGAGACATAGCGAACTACTTAGAGCACTTACACACATACATACTTACTTGTACATATTTGTAATATCTTATTAAATGTTAATGTACCAGACGGTACTTAAGAATTATAAATGTGATATGTGCTTTCAGCACAATAATATTGAACTCGAGAGAATTGATATTATGTTGATTACTGTGATTTTTTTTAATTTAATTTGATAATATACCTCTAGACTTAATAAATTTATTAAATTTTAATTTCTCTAGTTAGTAGCCTACCAGTTGTAATCCTGAAGCACTATTGAATCTTACAGAATTCTAATGGATAATTGGACAAGGATACTGACTACTTGTTACGAAAACCCAGTAACAGGCTGGATGCTAGAAGGGCAGTCCTTTCTAGTATTCACTGGAGATCTCTAAGCTTTAGAATCGCATTTTTTGTAACAGGGATGCAATAAGTTTTATGTAGGTGAAACATTGCAAGACATTAGCACATAAAGAAAACAGACAGCTTGGTATGTACACAACACTAACAGCAGCTGTGTAATCTACCCTTCAACATGGCTTGACACAACACCAAGTTACTCAGTAAAGAGATACCTAGTTTGTATCCTATACAGTCACCTATCCTGCAGGCAATACGAACTCAATACCTATTCTCTGGGTGGCATGACAGAGCTGATGAATTGGCAAAAGCATATGCCCTCAAGGAGGGACTTTGGACAATCTGCTAGTAGTTTAAGGGCAATTGTAAAGAAAGAACTTTAACTGAGCTTCAATGAGTCAAAATTGAGGGAGAATGACACCAATCAGTCTATCTATCATCATTCTATCATACAGAAAAAGCCACATGTTTATAGCACATTTAACAAAATCAGCACTCCTGGACATCACTACTGCCAGGTTTGACTAGCCTATAAGTACCTCTGCATTATGTACAGTACTAAAATGAGAAAAATTTATGAATTCATAGACAACTCACTCATAAAGGTTCAAGAAATATTTAAATATTTTATCTAAGGTGATATATTACAGATGGAGGGAAAATATTTTAACTTCACCTATTGCAAATAATTTATAACCCCCATAACTTGCCTAAATACTACTTTAAGTCGTCTAAACACCACTATAACTTCCCTAAATACAACTGTAATTTCATACTATAACATGGTATAAAGTGACTACCTCCCCTACACTATATTTCCCAAAATGCTCATCATAACCATGGGCTTTGTGCATGCACAACCAAACTGTCACCCATTCCTGTACAAACATTGTATTACGTGGAAATAAATCTTTGACTTTTGATTATGACCCATCCTATCGATGGTAGTCCACCCATACCCATCCTGTGGGGAAAGTCACCCCATACTCATCCTGTGGAGGCAGTCTCCTAATGCCCATCTTGTGGCAGCAGTAACAACCCAAGCCCATCATAAGGGTAGTAGTCAAAAGATTATACGTAGAGGTACACAATGGATCAAGGGACTGTGCTTCAACATTAGATTTGCTGTCAGGTTACAGTAGCAATGAACAATTTACAAGAGTAATCTATTAAGCTACAGAGGTAAGGGATTAGGTACATACTGAATTTAGTACCAAATACCACAATGAAAGCAATACCACAATTTAGACATAAACTAATCTAAGGGGCTGGAAATATTGCTCTGTCAATGAAGCATATTGCATTAGCTATGAGGTATCTACAGCAGGAAAAGTTAAGGTATTTGTGTAGAATACAAATATGTATTTAAAAAAATGTCTAGAATCTGAAGCATTCCAGAATTTAGGCACCACAGAACCAAATAAAAGAACATTTAAAATTGTCCCATCTCTTGCAGAATTACTGTTGAACAGAGCCATGTTAATAAACATGCAACCCATTCTTGTTTCATGGGTAATAATGGTGCAGATATGAAAGTTTCCTGGTTATCCTCTTCTGCCTTGTTGGTAGACACTGTGGTCAAGCTTTTTGCTTGCTTGTGGTTAAATATATGCTTATAAAGGTTTAGGTACTTTACCTAACCCAACCTAATCTTATTTAACATAAAGAAAATATCAGTGCATTTGTAAATTTACAATGTGTTAACAAACTGAAGTTGAGTACCTCATTTGGCAACTAATGAGCAAAACAGGGCAGGCTGGAATATGATGCAAGAGTGTCCAATTAATCCCGTAGGTCATTTTGTCAACCCTTCTCCATCTAATCCTCTTCCTTATTCTTCTTTCTCCTGCATGCATTTTGGAATTCCTACCACTGCTATATTAAGATCATGGTAAACAAAAGACCATCTACTATGTAGTCTTTGTTCTAATCAAAGTATGCCTGAAATGCTGTATATAGTCTTTCAAATTACTATATATTTTTGTACAATGACTTAAAAATTATTATTATTATAATCATTATTTTTTAATGCAACAGCCATCTCCCACCAAGGCAGGGTGATCCAAAAAACAAGTAAACGTAAAGTTTTTCTTTTTACACTTAGTAATTTATACAGAAGGGGTTGCTAGCCCCTTGCTCCCAGCATTTTAGTCGCATCTTATGACAAGGATGGCTTACGGAGGAAGGGTTATTCTCCACCTCTCCATGGGGTATTATTGTAACTATTATCATTATTAATGTTATTATTATTATTACAATCTGTTGGAGTGTGAGCAGGGTAATATTTTGTGAAGGGATTCAGGAATACCAGTTAGCAGGACTTGAGTCCTGGAGGTGGGAAATACAATGCCTGCACTTTAAATGAAGGGTATGGGATATTGGCTGTTTGGAGTGACATCTATACTGTCATATCTGAGTGAGGCCTCTGCAAAGACAGTCATATATAATTATGTATTAATGATGGTGAAAGTGTTGAATGATGATGAAAGTTTTTTCTTTCTTTTTGGGTCACCCTGCCTTGGTGGGAAGCGGCTGACGTGTTAAAAAAATCATTACAAAAGCTTGTCCTAGTATTTCTTGTTTCCTTTTACAAGTTATTCCTTCCCATCAGTAGTGTTGTACACCAGCAACTATACTCCAACCGTTATATGGGGGAGATCACACGCTCACCTTCAAACTGGGGACACTAGTGAGGTCCTACACCCCATATTCTGTCATGGCTTAGAGACGAGCACTGTCAGACATGCGTGATTTCAGTCAAATCCGTGATCCCTCAATAAATGATGAGCAGAGCAGAAATGTTCTTCATTCCACACTCACAACAAACCCTACAACATGTGTACTTTCAAACAACACTTCAGGAGTTTCTTCTTTCCTTTTTGCTGTTAAATGCAAGAATACAGCAACTCTTGCTTTAGCTAATTTAGTTTCTTCTACAATACTCAAAGCTACATAGTATAGATGTTAACCAATTCTCTCTCCAGAAAACTAGTAAGAAACATGACAAGTGAGAAAGTAAATGAAGAAACACACTGAAAAATAAAGACAATATGGGTATATCTTCCTTCTCATGAGACGAAAAGAAGTAAATTAGTAATCCTGTCAGAGTGGAAATTATTTAACAGGCTTCATTTTCATCAGTTATATTAAAGGGACTTTCAAGCTCTGCCAACTTTTATCACTGAAAAAAGCTTTAATGAGCAAAGCTTGAGAAGAGACTAAAAATTAATTGGTATCTAATTAAAAAATACACTAATTAACAAAGAGGCATCTAATGACTGGTGTTTAAATGTAGTGGGTTAAGTACTTGCAGCTTCTGTTTGCAAAGTTTATCTCTTTTCATAATCTTACAAATCACAACTGGTATTCAATTAAGATAAACCATTTATTAAAGCTGTAGCTACTAATGATGAGAGGAACTGATCACTAATTTATGTAAATTACATATACAGTGGACCCCCGGTTAACGATATTTTTTCACTCCAGAAGTATGTTCAGGTGCCAGTACTGACCGAATTTGTTCCCATAAGAAATATTGTGAAGTAGATTAGTCCATTTCAGACCCCCAAACATACACATACAAACGCACTTACATAAATACACTTACATAATTGGTCACATTCGGAGGTAATCGTTATGCGGGGGTCCACTGTACTACACAAGCAGTGCTGAACAAGAGCCAGTCTCTATCTTTGCTAATAGTGGTTTTTATATCATATGTTCCTTATATGTGAAATTATCACATTAAATTATGTATGAAATAGCTGAAACACTTACAGGTTCATTTCTGCTCTTTGGTCTAAACCCGGGTCCAGGAGGAAGGTTCTTATGAACACAGCAGTTGACACCAGGACTGAAGTGAAGTTCTACATGAAATCTGAAAAAAGAAGTGTACCATGTATATATACATTGAACTGAAGGGGTACAACTACACGGGATTTGTTATATGGGAGATGGCAGCAAGGAAAACACCAATGACTGTTGTGGAAGCATTTATATTGAGAATACAGTACTTGGTAAAGAAGCTCAACCTGTGTCTAACCATCTCTCAGCCTGCTTGCCGAGTAAGGGGGAGTGCTCTCAGAGCTGGCCTGTGCAGCGGGGGTCATGTGATGTCAGCGTGGTGTGGGAGCATAACTACAAATGGTACTACAACAAAAAACAAAACAAAACAAAAGTTTATTTCTTTGCAAAGGTTACAATGTGTGTTTACATTTTATAATTTGATTGGTGCAAAGAAAGCCACTATTATGCCAGGGCATTTCAGGCAGACTTACCTAGTACTTAAAGACTACTTAAGTCTAGGCAGGTAAAGACTAGTAAATTTCAAATATTCAATATTTTACTCTATTATTAATATGAGGTAGTGCAATTTATGATATTAACATACATTTTTAGGTTTGTAATAATGGTTTAATAGAAAAGGGATAATAAAATATTTGGGAGAGTTGCTTCAAATTTGGTTAGAGATTAGCATAGTGTGGGTATGGTTATTACTAAGATATGAGATGATTTTTCTCCATAGAGAAGTGAAACAGAATTCTTCCTCCATAAGCCATGCATGTCATAAGAAGTGACTAAAATGCTGGGAGCAAGGGGCTAGTAACCTGTTCTCCTGTATACATTTTTGTGCAGCAGGGGTCCAGTGACTCTCAAGTCGTTCCTAGTGTCTTTAAAAAACAAAGAAGGGAAGTAACCCAGATAAGGACTTGGTACCTGAAGTCCTAATGGAAGGAGATTCTCCTTCCTAACAATAGTGTACACCTTCCTCCTATCCCCTCCTCCTGTCTTCCATCCACCCAGAAGTCTTCAGTAAAGGTAAGTGTAATGTAATTATTATTTTATATATGTATGTACTTGATTTCTCATTGTTTTCGGTATGTAAATCTTTATTTAATTTGAAACAAAATAAAATTTATTATAATATTTTTGGGTGTCTGGAACGGATTAATTTTATTTCCATTATTTCTCAAGGGCAAAATGGTTTCGCCATTCAGCAATTTCGACATTCGGCAGACTCTCTGGAATGGGTTAATCACAAAACTCGGGGGTCCACTGTACTGGAGTTTAATTTTATAAAAATATAGTAGGCACAATAGTAAGTGTGTATATTTTGTATAATAAGTAAGTTCAAGCTCTTGAAGAGTGGTGGGGTGTCTTGTCTGGCGCAGAAGTTTGTGATCATCCGCAACACAGCATCTTGTTGGGTTATTAAAGGTTTAACCCTTTCAGGGTTGAGAGGACCTCTCCTAAACTTGTTCTCAGGATCGAAAATTTTTCAGAAAAAAAAAAAATTATTTTTTCTTATGAAATGATGGAGAATCTTTTCCTGATCATAATGACACCAAAAGTATGAAATTTGATGGAAGCTTACGGAATTATGCTCTTGTGAAGTTAGCGGTCTCACCGATGTTTAAGCATAGGCGATTTCGCCCACTTTGAGCCCTATTCTCGGCCAATTCCAGTGTACTAGTTGACAAAAATCATATTTATTTCGCTAGAACTCCATTTTTTCTATTGAATGAGTACAAGAAACCACCCATTTACCAATTTCAACTATCCAATAAAGTGGTCAGAAATTGGCAATTTTGCCAATTTCACACAAATTTCAGAAGATGCCAATTTCCAAATAGGGTCCAGAATAAACAAGACAGACATTCCTGGCACTAAAATAACATGTTCTCTGTTCGTTAGTCATGTCCCAAGGCCCCTCTTATATTTCTTTTGCTTTCTGCTTTGAATATTTATTCTTACAAAAAATAGAAGATTTACTGTTATGCAGACTACTGCATTAGTGTAGAAATAGTGTAAATAATATCAGCACACTTGTGAAAGAATATTAGACTCAACAGTTGACGTGTATTGGATGCTTGGCATGATTTGTTTATTTTTGAACTTTGGTAAAAATCGAACATTTCTGCTACTTTGAGCTCAATTTCAATGTACTTTTCATTGTGAAACCAATGAAAATCATCTCAATTTCTGTAATATGTCTTCCATTCTATAAAATGAGACAACGAAAACTAGAATACAACCATAAATACCATATGAAAATACATTGCAAAGTCACTGTTTTAATCCAAAAACATGGTCAAAGTTTTTTTTTCTCATTACGCACTGTGTGCTGCAGGATTTTTTTTATACTGCGCACAATGACCACATAGACCCATTCTTTCATATGTTGGCCTACCAGCTTTCTCTCGCTAGATTTAAAGGCGCTAGAATTTAGGCGTTCTAGTACGTCAATAACCCTAGTGCATAAGCAGTACTAGTACGTCGAAAACCCTGAAAGGGTTAAGGTGATTGGCAGTGGTGGTCGATTCCCAAGGAAATACCATAGGTGAGGAATTATACATATACATAATTATACATAAGAGTCTTCTGGTAAAAGAATTTTCAGTTCACAAAACTGACATATTGGGTTATTTTTTTAATTACAGGTACCATCCGACTTACAACCAAGCTTGGTTCCGACCAACCGGTCGTAAGTCAAAATAAACCATACCACGGGCGGGATTTGAATCCGAGGTCAGAGAGTCTCAAAATTCCAGACCGTCGCGTTAGCCACTGGACCAGCTAGCCACAATGAACGTAAGTCAAATTCAAATTCAAAGTTTATTCTCTATAAGGATTACAATGCTGAGTTTACAGAATTTGGTTATTGTGTGGTTTACATGTAGTAAAGTACTAATTACAGAGGGGGCCACTAGAACACCTAGCATGACTAGGCATTTCGGGCAGACTTAGATTAATTCTTAAATTTAAAATATTACAAATTATGAGGTAAGTTGGTATTATGGCTAAGTGACTAAATACTAGTTTGTGAGTTTAGCAATGTGAATGCTTTTGTTTTGGCACAATACATAGTTTCAGTATTGGAGTATCACAGGCCAACTTATGACTAGTTAGGATTCATTATTTTAAGATTGAGATTGATATTTCTGTTTATGGTCAAATGGGTGAGTGAGTGTAAGTGTGAACCACCAGGTGGTATTCGTGTAGTTAGTTGACGGGGTGTATCAGGGAGATAAGATGTTTTCTAATGGTAGTTTAAAAGGTGATGAATGTGTCTGCATTACTTTTGTAATGATTTTATTTTGCTGTTTCATTTTGGTATTTCATGTTTTACTTGACTTTTTATGCTGTTAGTACTGTATTTTATACTGTAAGCTTTAGGATAAACACTGTGTACAACACAAACAGTTGTTTATTTCCCAGAAATTTGGCATAAAAAACATGGTCGTAAGTTGAGTGGTCGTATGTCGAGCAGGTCGTAAGTCTGATGGTAAGTGTAGTAAGTTGGAGAGACATTCCTGTGGCCTCTCATTATCCTATTCTTAAATCTAAAAAATCTTGCTTAGCTAGTGTAATAAGTCTCTACTACTATACTTATGAAAACCATGTAGCATTACATGACAGAATATACAATTCTCCTGTACTCACTGTAACTCATCTAATGACCATTTGAACTATGTATTATTGCCTTACTAATCTTAAGTTAATCTTTAAGTTTGCCCGAAATGCTCTGTATACAAAGGGGCTTTTGGCATGTACACCCAACTATTATATTCCTCTGTACAACCATGTAATTTGTCACAATAAACATCTTTATTTTTATCTCTTTGTTGAGTAAGATGTACATGAAGTCTTGCACTGCACTGCACCAAGTCTTTTGCTCTGCACTAACAATTCAGTTTTAACCTCAAGATGAATATGTCAAATTTTATTTATTTATTTATTTATTTATTTATTTAGAAATTTAGTATACATACAGAGGTACAAAAAAATACAGGTAAGAGCAGCATGCCAAAGCCACTTATATGCATAGCATTATGGGCTGGCTTAAAATTAACTTAAGATTAACTAAGCAATGATGAAATCAGTGATAAGACATTATTGTAAACAGATAACTATAAAATACAAATGAGTATTACAAAGACAGGTCATATGGTTGCATGCATTGCTGTTCATTCAGTAGAATGGAGTATTCTGTTAGGTAGTGTATTTAAAAAAATAACAAAGTTAGGTTTAACATTTGTGTGATATAATTGTGAGTAACATTTAGGATATACAATTTATATGGTTCAGTTATTCAGTATTTACAGTGGACCCCCGCTTAACGATCACCTCCAAATGCGACCAATTATGTAAGTGTATTTATGTAAGTGCGTTTGTACGTGTATGTTTGGGGGTCTGAAATGGACTAATCTACTTCACAATATTCCTTATGGGAAAAAATTCGGTCAGTACTGGCACCTGAACATACTACTGAAATGAAAAAAGTTCGTTAACCGGGGGTCCACTGTATTTGGTTTTGAGTGAGTAAGTGAACTTTGAGAAGAGACTTGAATTTATAAACAGGTAGTGTTTCTTTTATATTTACAGGTAATGAATTCCAGATTTTAGGGCCTTTTATGTGCATTGAGTTTTTGCATAGTGTGAGATGGACACGAGGAACATCAAAGAGTGATCTGTGCCTTGTATTATGGTCATGTGTTCTGTTGAGGTTGGCAAGGAGATGTTTGAGGGGAGGGTTAATATCAGAGTTAAGTGTTCTATGTATGTAATAAGTGCAATAATAAGTATGGATGTTTTGTATGGTGAGTAGGTTGAGTGTTTTGAATATTGGTGGAGTGTGCTGCCTGTATTGAGAATTTGTTATCATTCTAACTGCAGCCTTTTGTTGGGTAATTAGTGGTCTGAGATGGTTAGTTGTTGTTGAGCCCCATGCACAAATTCCATAGGTAAGATAGGGGTAAATAAGAGAGTGATAGAGGGCCAGGAGGGCTGACTGTGGAACATAGTACCGTATCTTCGATAGTATGCCTACAGTCTTGGAAATTTTCTTAGAAATTTGTTGTATATGTGTATGAAATT